CCATCGTGGTATCCCTGATCCACGTGCAACTGATAGTGGTTGCGCGACAGCGAAATGTCAGTGCTGCGTATCGGGGTACTGCTGATGACACTTTTCTTCGACTGAAGCCGAACTTCTCACTCGCTATTGTGAAGTCCAGAGGAATATCACGAGTGATATTTGAAACTGGGGCCACACAGCACATTAATCAGCCGACGCGCGTAGACTTGATATTGACCAGCCGTGAGCAACGTGTGTGTGACATGCAGGTCCTAGAGCCCCTGGGAGCGAGTGACCACTGACTTGGACCTGCCGCTGCCACTGCCGCATTATCCTCCGCTGAAGCCAGCATTCAGATAGTGGACGGACTTTAATGGCGTCAAGCAAGCCACGAGACAGATGGACCGATCGTTATCAAAGCACACATCTGCTTAAGCCTATTGGGCTATCATTAGGGAGCAAAATAGTTGTGCAACAACAACAACAACAACAACAACAACAACAGCAGTACATCATCCATTTGAACTGATGCTTCGCTGCCATACAACCATGATGACCTATGATATAAAGAATAATAAGTGGGAGAGAAAGGGTAAGTAGCTGAAAACCGTAATGCCCTAAGCACACATTCAGGGTCAAGGTGACTACACCTTGTGTATACAACATACCCTCGCAAACAGCTGGCTATCGTACAAAGATAAGGCGGCATCGGCGAGACAGCTTCCTTGCGGCTTTCACTGCAACGCGGCATAATCAGCCATTACCCCGCAAATAACTCAGCATCAAACACACTGTAAACAGGTAATCCAATTGGTAGACGGTAGAAGACGCGTCACTGGTGTCGGTTGCGAGCGAAATCGTATAAAGTCTCAAACCAAGCACAAGGCGAGTCACTGAACTCCAGCCAGGAAGGCAAGACGGACCAACGGCATCCAGTTTCGTCGTAAGCAACTTCATTTCCCGCTGTGGCAAACACTGGTCAAGCTGGAGTGGGCATCGTTCTCAGATCCAGAGCTGATTTACAGCTAGGTGAGTAGATTTCCGTGAACAGCCGTTTATATGCAGCCCGTTTGACATCAACTAATGTTAATTCAAGAAATGGGAATGCCACTAACATGCTGTTCGTACAGCACGGCATGTGTGAAATATCAATATTTAAAGACCAGAACACACAGTTTCCCTTGCTTCGTTTAACTTTTTGTCTTCTCATTAACTTTACTGTACAGATTAAACAAGGTGCTCTTTTAGTAGTTTCGTGTTGTCGACTTTTAGGACGTCATGTAATGCTTAGATTGTTTCTCAGATGAGTACGCAAAAGCCAATTGGCTGGAAGGAGTGTTGCTGGAAGCACCTGTGGCTCCGTCCATTGACGTCACTTGATCCATGGAGCAGGACGGAAAATTACATATGTGTGTTCAATTGTGCTCAATTAATTTTCAGCAATCGCGCCCATTTTCCGGAGCACGAGAATCCGTTAGAAAAGTCACTTCCATGCACAGTGTGGATGTTCAGTACTCGTCACCCCCATCGAATTTGTATTTGAGGAAATATTCACCGGATAGTGACCAAGAGAAAGTGGATCCGTTGAACCACATACTGGTGGTGTCCAGGTACACAGTATTCAGTGGCATATATTGTTAATCTAATCTCCCTATTGCATCCGCCTTCAAGCCAAGTAAAACAAGCGAAAGACGGGGATTATAGCACTAAAGGCGCTTGTAGTAAGTTGTGACAAAGTACCCTTAGTATGTCGCAATAGTCAGGCTTGACCGTTAGAGGAATTCGTGTGACAAGGCATCAGCAGTACGCCGGTACGCAGTACCGAGGCTTCACTGTCGCGCAATTATCACCGGTCACAGGTGGACTAAGGATAATGCGAGAGTCCACTGCCACCACCCAGGCTCGAACCCGCGCCGCCGGATTACAAGACAAGTTGGTTACTTCTAAGCTACGGGCCGCATGCGTATGCACATGTATGTCATGCAGTCGAAAATAGGCTTCATGGATCGTCTGATGGTCAGTGACAAAGCAGGAGCCGTTTACCCAGTGCCTTTACCAATGAACTCCGTGGAGGAGTTCATTATTTCGATGTGCGGTTAACAGGTCACGATGAGATGCAGTCGATGGTAATATGCAAATACCTATATAGGCCGTCTTAGGTGGTGTACTTTTCGAATTTAGATGGCAAATCTCAATCCGACCGCGTGGGCAATATACTTCTTTCTCGAATGACTAATCCACTGGTATGTCAGATAAATTGGCGAGGCGTCGATGAGAAACGGGGCATTAGAGGGTCACTGTTGGCTTGTGACATTATTGGCAAGCTAGCTAATTGTCAGTAACAATATTCGTTATAGATGCAACAATGCGCCATGGTTTCGTGAGAGGCACTGATCCTAGATAAATTTCGGCGATGGATGCAGCGCGTTAAAAAGTGAGAGACTTTCTATCCAATTTCTAAAGAAACACCCAGAATAAGTGGTCAAGTGTTGTAAATGTTTTCCCCAAATTACATCCCATTACTTTTAGTTAATCGTCCGTTTTGCAGATCCATGTGAACGGCGAGAGTGGCATGTTTGATAAGGACTAGGTACCAAAGGTAGTTGGTGTGGAAATTCCGTAGAAGGATTAATAAATTCGAAATGCCAGGGTGGCGTATCTGATTTATGAGCGTATGAATTACGTCCCAAATGGGGCTTATTTCGGGCGTTCAGGTGGAACCCATATTCCAGTATAGGGGAATAATTTTGGCCACCGAATGGTTCGTTCTTGCGTAACCATTCCTTGATCGTAGAAATGCATCAAAAGACATGGAAAAGTGCTATATGAGAACCGGGGAATGCTGCTGCTATCTATTCACGTGTGCGCGAGAACAGTCCGAACTTGGGCTGAGTTCCGGGGATGCAGAAAAGGTGTCATATATCTGCACATGAGAATAATATAGAGCTCCGAAGAGTGTGTTCATGCATGGAACTGTAGTGGTCTTATAAATGCGGTAAAGGTAATGGAAAACTTTTATCCGCGAATGGGGTAATGATGCTGCAACTTTTCCTGCGCACACAACACTCGTCCCATTTAGGACTAATTTCGGGCGCTCACAATCACCCAAAATTTGTGTCACTAGGGAGAATTTCGTGCGCCTGTTGGGCGTTGGTGCCAGAAGGGTAGGTGTTAATGACCATCACACGTAACCATTTGGGAACTATTGTCTCCTTTGAATGACAACGATAAGTAGACGAGTTTCTTTCCTACTGTGGGTGGTTTGGCGACCACACAGTCAGTCGGCATACTCATCTTGAGCGAGCCACAGCTGTAGTCATTTGGAGCGTACGCGAAAATTAGAACTAAGCTGCATCTCACTTTGCGACGCCTGGTAGTCCGGCATGGACGCCGAAGCTAAACTGCACACAATCGGCTGTTGATCGGAAACCAATAAGTTAGTGCTGTCTGGGCTCTGCTACTTACTGCTACACCAACGATAGCCAAACCAGCTGTAGGTTCTTCTGTGTCAGCAAATAGAAGGTGAAATATGTTCGCTTTGGCAGTGGGGTTGTCAAGTTAATCACAGTGATGAAACCTGGCAATCAGGTTTCCGAAAGACGGCAAGCATCAATAGCGAGGGATTCCAAGGTAAGCGTGAGACCAGCCTGTTTCTCGATTTGCATGAGTGTACACAGGTTGAAATGTATCAGAAGCAACGAGAACCAAGACTGAAAGGGACAACTGGTCGAGCCACATGGATATTAGCAAAACCATTGGAAGTAGATCCACAGAAGCAGGAACCGATAGGTAACGAGAAATAATACCTAGAACCACTGAGGTCGACGGGTATTTTCTTCGTAACTAAGTAGTGTTCATGTTTCAGATGGCCCAGCATACAACGGTGCGATCATATCTACAGAGTGCATGTTGGAGTCATACTGATTCCAGTCAATGAGTTGCATTGTGAAACTTGGTCGTCCTAAACGTGACAACCGTGGCAAACACTTGCTTAAGGCTGAGCAACTGGTACAATTCGCTAATTTGGTTGTTATCATTATTATTATTATTAGTAGTAGTAGTAGTAGTAGTAGCACCATTATCATTATTATTACGGATTATTCCGTCTATCAAGGAGACTGGATCCATAAAACTTCATAGCAGCTGTCATATGCGACAAAGAAAGGAATTCATTCGGCGATACATGAGATGATTTGTAGAGAAAATAACTCATTCAAGCAAGCGTCACAAAAAGTTTAGCTGGTCCTAAAACCAGACCTTGTCGCCCAGGTTCCTACTTGGAGGAGCGGCGAGAAGCTAAGGTAGCCGTATTTGCCAAAAAAAGTCAAACAGATACCTTAGGTGGGGAGGTTTTCAGATCAAATTCCAGCCAATGGAGTGATAAAGGAGTTGGGACATAGAGAGATGATAATTGGAGATCGTAAAATCTGTTAAGCTGAAAACCTGGATAGCAAATCAGGTTTGTCTGTTTCCCAGCAAACAGTGAATGACTACAGTTCGACTGGGCATAATAGGTGTGGAACACTGTGTTTCTCATACCTCTAAGGGCACACTTGATGATGCCTATCGTAAACCGGAGTGAAATTCTGTGAGCAATTTAAACAACGGAAAGGGAATAAATCTTCGTATCGTAAACCCCGGTTCAGGTGAAGAAGTGACCCAATAAGCAAAGTGCAGGCTAAAAGTGGTGGACGAATTGCAAAGGCTTTCTACACCGTGTGGTCGAAACATCGACTTTATGCATAAATGAACAGTTGCTCAAGAAACATAAAAGCTAAGTCTAACTCACTTGGGCATTGGACTCAGAAACATGGTGTGATAACGAGGGGTCAATCTCCTCGGATGTATGTCACATAATAGGTGTCGTAGTCGTATATGATATATATATATATATATATATATATATATATATATAAGGTTCGAAGGTTTATCAGAACAACCTAGATAAATAAATATTTCAACTGCTTCATGCTATCCTGACAGATCGTAGAAGTTGTATAGTCGAAAACTCTGATACTCACCATCTATGAAGCCACTAAGATCACGCCCACCCCGATAGACCCATCCGTAAACGTCTTCAAACCGAGTCACGCTTCCTTGCGGCAAGCTATGTATAAGGACTTGACAGAGTTGAAACAGCTTGCCTCTTTCGTTACATTTAGCGTGGACAAATATGTCACCTCCTGAAGAAAAACAAAAGTGGACATCCTAAGGTAAAATGTTGATTCAGCGAGTTACAAAGAAAAATTAGATCATGAGATCAGACAAATGAGTTGCGCCTACCAAGTAGAACGGAAATTCGTGTCGGTACCTCCGAAAGATCACAATGAATATGGCATCAAACCAAAGTAGTAAATAAGCTGTAAAGTCAACCATCCGTATGTACTGAGTGCGTCTCTCGTCTCGCCATCCTTGTCAACTGGATAGTTTGAGAAAACTAGCCCAAAAAGACAGGAAATGGCTGACCGCACAAGTCAGAGCAGATAACTGATGGGAGGCAAAATGGTGAGGTGCGAATAGAAGTAGATGAAATAGCTGTAACACATGATTGCGAATGAGTGTATACTCCTATAAAACAGCGTTATATGGTCTGCTACGGGGAAGGACGAAATTGCGTGGGTCAAGAAAATGGCAGTCAAATCAAGTGCGTCAAACCACAAGTACGAGATACTGAATACCGTATTATAGAGCAAGTAGAAATGAATTATATACAACTCTTTCGAAATATGGTGAAAAACGTCATAAAAGTTGTCAACCGTGAATATGGTTGTCGTTCTCATGTAACATTTAAAATATCTGACTCAAGATAGTTCAGAACTTACAAATGTGGTATATCATTGTAAGTGTGCAACCGTTCTCTGAATCGAATAGTGGCAAAATATAAATCTAACAACGTTTTGAACTGCTGCACAGATGTTGCCTCCATCACATGTTCAGGTAAACTGTTCCAAATATTTACCACTCTCCGTTCGAAGCACAGTGGGTGGGGAACACGTTTCACATCCGGCATGACAAGTTTGTATCTGTGTCCGCGTGTGTTGCGTGGCCCTCGTAAGTGCAGCATGGGCCTTAGCATTGGGAAGTCACCGAGACGTAGAATACGGTAGGTCATAATGAGTTCGACTCGCATCCGACGGTAGGACAAGGTGTAGAGTCCTAGTTTCTCGCACCGGTCTTCATATCCCAAGCCACGTAAACTCGGGATGGGACTGGTAGCAACGTGTTAGACCCGTTCGATCTTTTGTGCCTCGCCTCATATAATCGTAAAGTAGGCGGGCGAACCCTACTCTAGCATTAGTCTAATGATGGAAGAGAAGAGGCGCGTGGCAACCTCTTTAGACCATGTGCCGAAGCTACGTTTGAGCGCCCAAAGCATGCACAGTCCGTTACGATATAGCCTGTTCGTGTTGTCCACGGACTTCAACTCATGGCGTGAGAGTACATCTACGTCCTTTACGGAGGGTGTGCGATACAGCGGTTGGCCGTCAAGGGTGTAGGTTCGGCCGTCAGCACCCTCCCCTAGGTTCATAAACACAGATTTGGATGGGTTGACCGGGAGATGTACTGCTGTAGACCATGTGGATAGGCGGTTGAGATCTTGCTGAAGTAGGCCACAGTCATTGGGAGCGTCAATTTCTCTCCAAATGTTCATGTTGTTCGTAAACAAGGCACACGGCGACCGGAGAAGCTGCGGTAGATTGTTGATGTGGATCAGCAACATAGTGGGCCCCAGCACAGTGCCTTGAGACACGCCACTTGTAGAGCGGTACCCGTCAGTTAGATGGTCGTCGACTTGTACCCTCCACTTTCGTCCAACAAGAAAGTCGCGGATCCACCGGTGCAGTGAGCCACCGATGCCACACATGCTGAGTTTGTGAAGGAGAATCCCATGACTGACCTTGTCGAACGCTTTACTGAAATCGATGAATAGCACGTCGACGAACTTCCCATTGTTTATTGCCTTCAACCACTCATGCGTCGTCACAAGCAGGTTCGTAATGCATGAGCGACCTTGCATAAAACCGTGTGTGCGGGCGTCAGGACCTCGTTTGGCTGTAGCAACTGCAGCAATCCCTTCTTCACTATTTTCTCAGCAACCTTTGCCAAACTAGGTGTCAGATAAATTGGTCTGTAGTTGTTTACTTTGTTAGGGTCGCCGCCTTTCGGAATAGGCTTCACCACCGAACATTTCCAGTCAACCGGCAACGAACCTTCGGACAGCGACCCGTTGAAAAGGTCAGTCACGACAGGAAAGAGCATGGTCGAAAGTGACTTGAGAACCAGTGGATAAAGCCCATCAGATCCGGCAGGTATGGTGCCGTCAAAGTTGGCGAGTAGTTGACCTACTTCTTCAACGCCGCAATGCAGACTATGGAGTTCGGTAAAAGCGGTACACGTCGAACTCGGAACAGACACCTGGTTATTCGCAAATACAGAAGCGAAATGCGCCGCCAACACGGACGCACGCTCAGTGCTGGAGGTTAGGGGCTGTCCATCCGGGCCATCCAGCACTGGCACATCACCTGCTGGCTTCAGGCGGCGCTACACGTATGCGAAGATTCTCTTTGGAGCGGTCTTCGCAGCTACTGCGAGGTGCTCTTCGAAATGTCGGCGTTTATTCTTTATTGCACTGTTGCAGAGGTTCCGCTGACATTTATACCCTTCGTAATCATTGGCAGAGCCAGAGCCAGTCTTTGCCGCCTCCGAGTCAGGTTTCCATACTCCTTGTCAAACCAATGAGGCATAATCGGTCCAATCTTCCGACATTTCAATGGCACAAATTGGGAACACAATGATGTCAATCTCTCTTTTATAAATATCCAACAGTCTTCCACAGATGCAGCTTGTGACAGAGACCAAACGAGTCGGCTCGCGGCTCGAGCTAGACCATCGAAGCCCGTTTTCCAGTAGTTGGGAGCTGGTTCCAGCGGACGTGAATACGGCAAAGATAATTCCATATAAGCTATGAGCACTGAATGGTCGCTTGTAGCCAGGGGCTCCAGGATCCTAACGTCACGCACTCGTTGTTCGTAGCTCGTTAACATCAGGTCGAGACAGGACGGGGTTGAATGTGTTGTTATGCGTGTTGGCTGGCATATGTGTTGCGATGCACCAGTTTCAAGTACCAAATCCACGAACTTTGCTTCAACCTCACTATGTCCAGGCATCAAATGCACATCAGGCCATCGTATTCGAGGACAGTTAAAATCGCCCATAAGTAGAAAGTGTGGACAACTCATGTGGGTTCGAAGAATGGGCAGCCAATCCAAACAACGACTCAGGGGGCTGCGATAAACTGCGCCCACAAGCAGTTCTCCGCGCCTGAGGCGGATGGAGCACCACAGTAGCTCACACAAGCCATCGTCACTTCGGTAGGTGCTCACAAGTCTCCCACGCAGGGAAGACCGGATGTAAAGTAAGACACCACCGTGGGCATTCTTTAGTCTATCGCATCGGAAGCACGAGTAACTGTTGAGTTCAAGTTCTTGGGTGTATAACTCTGCATGCAGCCATGTCTCTACGAGTCCCACTACGTCTGGCCGCTCAGACGCAACGAAACAACAAAGCTCATCGCGCTTATTCATAACACTGCAAACGTTTGTGAAGACTACTCGCAGGCCGTAGCAGGAGCCGCCGGGCGTGCTTGAAGTGTGAGCAGCCTGTTTATCCTGATTCGCAGATTGTTGGAAACCACCCGAAGAGTTACGACACGAAGATTTGTTTCCCCTCACCAGTGCATCTTTTCAGCTCAATGATGGCAGAGTTGAGTCGATCCCTCTCTACTGGGTTCAGGTCTGGACGAACATGGATCTTCAAACCTTTCAGCCTACTTAGGCGGGATATGATCAGTCTTGGACTGGCTTCGTCCACAAAACTGATTCTCATAGGCCGGTTTCGTTGATCACCTTGCTTTCCAGGATGGGTAATTTTCCTCACTTTTACCGAGCCCTCACCAGCGTCGAGGAATCTGTCAATTAGACCCTGTAAAAACGACATCGTGATCTTAGCGCACTTGGGGTGATGGATCACTGGACTCCGATGCGTGAAAGATCACGAGATTATAACGCCTCTGGTCGGACGAGGTTGACCTTACAGGGCGAAGTATACTACCAGCCTCACGTGGTTTGGCTACCTGTTGACTTACAGAACTTAAACGCTCAACGTCCCTTGGTAATTTCGTTCTTCGTTCTTTCCACTGGTCTTCAGCACTCAGGCTTTTACCTGCTGGGACATCAGTGTCCGTTGGACACAACAAAGGTAACCAATTTATGCCAGGTGTAACTGGGCTTCTCACAACGGTTGGACTTCGTGTCGGTGAGTTTGCACGGGTAGAGGAGGACGACTGAACTGAAAGCTGGAGGCTCTTCGGGCTAGGTTGTTGGGCCAAACACACGGAGCTGTTCGCATCGAAATGCTGAGGCCTAAACGTTAGCTTTACTCTTCCTGACTGTATCTTATTTCGGCAATTTTCACATATAGTTTGGACGGAATCGTGTTGGATCTCGCGAAGACGATGAAAGTGCCCAGCTGATAATCCGACAAATGGAATGTGGTATTTAACTTGGCACAAAACACACGTGAGGGCATTCGCACGGTATCCAACTAGCTTGGGGCAAGTACCACAGGATGACTGCTTCGGCAATGTGAATAATCCGAAAACAAGATGGCGGCCAATTGACGGAGAAAATGGCGATAGCAAGATCGCCGATTCCAAGTGATGAAAACACAAGTATTTTTGGTCGGAAATTTCAGAATCTGAAATGAAACTGAACTGTATCTAAATTTCCACGAAATACTTCCAATGAACGCAGAAAGCCAACACAAAGTGATCTTGTCAACACAGCCAAATAACCGACCGGAGGTCGCTATCCTGTTAGTTAGTATAAGCGCAGTTAAGTCAATGGAATTTAGAACCTAAGCACATAGGTGCGAAAGGAGCAAAGGCCTTGATAATCCAAATAAAAAGGAATGCACCACACGAGAAGTGGTTGGAAATCTCTGGGATTATCTAAATGGTGGGCAGTAATTATGGTACAGACCAGTTGGATAGAATATTCTTTCATCACTCATGAAGTAGATTCCCTGACCCACAACAATGGAGACGGAGTGATATAACGTGCATCAGTTTACGATCAGTTGATTCAAATGTCATTTGCAATGTCCTCAACTGACCTCCATAGCACTCCGACCAATGGCATATCAAGGATGCCAACTTATAGGCCTGCGGATAACGTGATCTAGCCAGCTTGCGGGATTCGGGTTTAGAACGCGATATACTGTGGTGACAGAGATTTTTCCGAGAGGCGCTGACTGACAGACATATGCATTCTTCACGCATCTGGCCATAAGTGATGTGCAAAAGGAGAGAAGAAAAAAGGAAAGGCATCAGCAGTACGCCGGTACACAGTACCGACACTTTGCTGTTGGGCAACCACCAACAGTCGCACGTGGTCCAAGGATACTGCGAGGGCCGCCCGGTTCCTACGCAGGATCGAACCCGCGCCCTTAGATTACAAGGCAGGCTTGGGATCTTTAAGGCTACGGGGCAACACAAGTGATGTGCAACGGATTGCAGACAGCATTTAGGTCTTTTCGCCAAGTTTATAATGCTTTTTGATCATGCTTCGGATTCATGTAGTAGTAGTGCTGAATACAGCGTGGAACTGTGGACCCAGCGCATAATCAGTTAATTGTTACCCTGCCTCCTGTATTGGAGAGCAGAATTCTGAAAAGCTGACACTTTCTTGATATGATGTGCAGTAGCATTCCAGATGAATGAATTGCTGGAGATCATGGAACTGCATCAGTACCTGAGCACATCAGTCACTTTGAGTAGCTGCTGAGCGACTGAGAGCTAATGAGGCGTGCTGTAGCAGTACAGGAATCGCATTCCAAAGGTGCGAAGTACACACCGACGTGTGCAGAGCTCTGCGCCCGGCGCGTTTTATGACGTTCCTGATGAGGCTGGATCTGACCTCATGTGTTGCTGAGCCTTCAGGTCACCACATAACTCTACTTTACGGACATTAAAACACCCATCGGACATCACTCTCAAGTTGCAACATGAAGGTAGAGGCTTACATCGGTCTGTGTCAACCCATCTTAAGACACCCTCATATAAAATATACACACATGTACCTTGATTTTGTCAACAAGCCGGATAACATGACTTCCTTATACACGCAAAACATGGGTTTACCAATTCACCTGTACTTGCGGTAGCACTTACAATGGCCGAACCGAGTGAAGGCTATCAACTAGGATCATGGAACATGTACCACGGAACTTGGCAAATAGTGGCCCTAAAATTCCTGCCACCTCAATGGCTCGATTGCACGTTGTGCAAAAACGCACGTGACGCATTAAAGGTTATCAACAGACAGAACAACGCGGGCTTGCTTTGTTTCGCTGAAGCTTCTGCCATCCGAAACCTAACCTTTGCAAACAGCTCGACCTTGTGGCCAGCCTTGCCTTGCTCTGGAAAAACGTAGGCGATGACCTTGATTTTCTCAGTGGTTTATTGATTTCCTTATTGACTCTCATTTCGTTTGCGTTTCTTTACTCTTTCCACTATTTGTCTGTAAGCGGCCGAATGACAAAACACGTAATAAGCTGAATTCAGGTTGTCCCGCACAAATGTTGTTTGTTTTTGCTCTTTTAAAACATAAAAGGGTAAATAACATCAAACCATCACAACCTACCCGTGTCTGGTAAATCGCCCAATGGTCCAACGCGGGTGCGATAAGGGTATGGTACGATACCTTGTGGTTTGTCTTCAGGTCTAAGTTTGTCCAGAAAGTCTGGCCCAAAGCCGACACCAAACCAAATTTCATCGTTTTCATCACTTAAATCTGGAGGGCAGATGGTGTCCACGTGTTTCTAGATAAAGACAAAAACAACATGTAAGATTCTGTACCATTGCACACATGGATACACATTGGATACACTTTTGAAATAGTCAGGAGTTGACCTCAGTGATGTTTGTTTGGTGAGCTTTTTACCGACTTTCCCGTTTAGCGTATCTTTCCAATCACGACCTTCTTACCTGTGCATAAAACAAAAGAGCGTAATAACATGTTCTGATTTGCTTTTGTCACTTTTTCCAGAAATTTAGTGAAGCCTATTGTGGCAAATAGCAATGGTTTTTCTCAGCCCCAGCTGTGTAGAATGATGATTGTCATCCAATCCACCGGAGACAAAAAGACGACTGATAGCAGAGTGGTATGTGAAACCAACGGTGGGCAATTTCACACTCGCTAACGTCGACTTGTAGATTAGGTGGAGAGCAATTTGAGTGGCGGTTCATCTGACCACCATTGCTATCGAGTTGCTATTCTCGTCTCCATAGTCTTCCCTGCTGTATAAACACACCTCCCAGGTTGCCTGTGAGCTTCGTCTCATGAAACACCATAAATCGCCCGGTTCAGGTGGGTTGCCTGTAGTTGTTTTCAAGGATTACGGCCCGTCTGTTCTCTTTGAATTAACTACCATCTTTCGTGAGATTTAGAGCATAGAAGTCATCCTATCTGATTTGGACTTAGCGGACATCGTGCCTATTTTCAAAACTGGTGACCGAACAGACTGCGCCAACCACCGTCATTGTATCACTATAAACCTTAGCTAGAGGTGGGAAACACCTTAGCCACTGTGCTGCAATACGTAAAAAAAGAAAAAACACAATAGGTGCACGCCAGCTGAGCTACCAGGAGCAGATGGGCATCGTTCCGGTAGGCTACCAGCCGGCTACTAACGCAGAAACAAATTACTATGCAAAATTTAGGTTATGCTAAGAACTTCGATGGAGGTTGGAAGGGGAGGCTAAGAAGGATGGGAGGGATAAAGAAACTCACAACAAGAACCCCACTGAGGTCGACTCCTTGTCATGTCAACTAGTGTAGCCAGCTAAACGTGTTCATCGTCTTTCGGACCCCAACCAGGGAGTCGAGAAGCCCCAACCGAGTCAAACTTCTAAGTAAGGACCTACATTGCTCTCCACCTAATCATCACCTAGCCACTCCTCCTCTTCTTTCATCCACACGTCGACGTGCAAATAACGCACGTCGTGGGAGTCAGTGGGTTGGTGTGCGCCAGGCGCGGCCCTTTCCAAATTCGAGGAACCGAACTAGGTGAACCTCAACATGCTCTTTGCACATATATGATCGCGTCATCGATTGTCTTCGCAAAAAACAGGTAAGCGAAAATAGTGAACATAACGCATAAGAGGTAGATCCGCTAACCACTGAGGTATCAGTTTCTTCTGCATTACGTTCACTATGTTCGCCTCCCTGATTTTGCGCAGACTCAATCGAGTACGTGAGCAGCGCATGTGCACAGCGCAGGTTGGGCTTCACCTAAGTCGGTCCCACAAATCTGGAAATGGCTGGTGAGAGTCCGTCTGCTACTGCGCATAAGGGCGGATGCAATGGGTCGGTCCAGCTAATAGGACTATCAGTGACTGATAAGGATAACAACAACTCTAGCTGATAAAACTGCTTTTCATAGTGTACCGTCTAACGCTCCAAGCGTTTTGACAGGTTGTGGCTAGGCTGTCCACCCTCGTCGCATATAGTTTCGCTAACACCAGTTCTCATGCTTCCCTTTTACCATATCCGACGGGATAACCAAGGGTAGTGGCTGTCTCCATCTCCGATGCGCGATGAGACCACCAGGCTTCCCGGTCTCTCTTTAGGCTAGCACGCAGATTTTCCCTGAGTTCTTTGCGAATCTCATTTTGTTCGCCTCCAGCCGAAACGCGTCGTCGAGCCTCCGTAACTTCTATAGACTTCGTAGAGACTCACTATCTAAGTTGACAATTTGATTTGCCACATGAAAACATGCTTACTGCCAATACTGTCTGGTGGATATGCAATCAGTTATCTTCAACCGTGTTCAGTGAGTGTTGACTTAATCCCTATGCCATTCAAGACATCTGCCTTCACCGGTTGGCAAGTATCTATGCACTCATAATGTCTTTGCGGACATCCGCCAAAACTCACCCACAGGTCGGCATAGTGCGTAATCGGAATCCATGCTGATGCTCTAAATCGAGCAACAGTTCTGCTCACAGTTTCCAGTGATAACTGACTGCGATGTGATAATTTTTGCTTCCGTGGCGGCTGGTTTGAGGGTGGTGGGCGTCGTGTCACTGTTCCGAGGGTGCTCTCTCGGAAGTTAGTGCTGGCGTGAACTAGTTGCGTATCTTCACACAGATGTAGCAACCGCCCACCGTTATCATTACGGAAACCTACACAGTGTTACCCACTCAGATGCAGTTCATCAGTGGACGGTTCCATAGATTGATCATCAACCCACCTCGCAGTATCCGTACTAGATCTGTAACGAATGAGTGTGTTCAGTTGGTGATATAAGCCATCTTCCACCGAGTTAGGGTTACAATTTATGGGGGCGTAGACAACAATGACAACCAGGCACCGTTAGTCCCCGCGCGACTTCGAAGCTCCGAACAAGCCAGCCAGCGTAACGGTGGACACATAGCGGTTGACTGGAATCCTAGCGATCAGAGCAGCTTCAGCCCGGGGGCTCAAAGTAATGCCCACACCGGCTTCACCGTCATGTGAATCTGCGTTCTCTGCTGACAAACGCTCTGAGAAAGTGCGTCAGCGTCGCATGCGGGGGATCGCAAGGCTAGCATAAACCTCAAATTTCGCAAGCGGGTTTCCGATAAACAACAGATATCGATCGCTAAGTTCTCTAGTGTCTGTTGACCAATCTGCAATATGGTGCGCACTTTGAGGCATGCCAGTCTGCTGCCTATGTAGTTCTCCAAGAAATACTCAGGAGCCAAGTTGTTAACTTTATGACACCATTGCCCTAATCAACCAATCACAGCTAAGCTTTATTTTAAGCTGCTCCTACGTTACTTGCCAGCTGCTGTTCTTTCACCATGTGCGAGCCATGATTGAAAGAAGAATGGCGGTAATCATAATTGAGTGACTTGGGAAATACGAGGTTAACGTCAGATCCGCATTCATTCTACCCCGACGAAGTATTGTCAATAGTACCCATCCCTTAGACTGACCACTTCTATGCAACTTGGCTCACAATGCCAATACTTGTTTTTCATGGCTTTGCCTAAGGAATACGAGGAGGATGTGAACGAGATGGTGCTGTGAGAATAGGCTACGCAGTTACGTATTTTAATCATGTTCATCGGCGTATAGACTCTGGCGTGGGATGAGTACTTCTAAATAATAACATATCAGTCACTTAACGGAGAAAGATGGTCCAACCATTTTCCAATAAGAATACAAACCGTGGAAGTGTGACTTATCGATCCTTTTGGATTTGACACTAGGTGTTCGCAACCATATGTGTCAGAAAAGTTACCACAGGGATAACTGGCTTGTGGTGGACAGTACGCGTGAGAACCCACGTGCGTGTTTTGTGGTCCCAGCATTTGTCAATCAGTTTTACGGGCCAATGAGCTTCGCGCTTTGTGGAATACGTGAATCTCAGTATCCGCGAGGATTAGATATTGCCTAGAAATGCGGCTTCTCAGTTCCATGCTAATGGAATATTGCCTCATCGGTGAATATGTTAGAATGAACGCTCATGTGCGGCAGTGAAGAAAATTTTCGGTCCCCTCACGGTCAGTGAAACAAATTGGGCAGCGTAACCCCACTTGTTTCCTTAAAGTACGATCAAGACTGTGACGGGAGAATAGGCTATGTGGTAGCAAGTAGTCTCTAGGCGGCATAGCTTTGCAAGACTCCTTTTTCAAACGTTACTTTTCATATGTGCAAGGCCTAATTGAAAGGAACGCCTCTTATGTTAAGGTAGGTTGTTGGGAACTAACTTTCAGTCTACAAGAGCGCTGCAAATAGCAATTTCATCACTAGCTAGGATAACAGTAAGCACCTATTGAACACTCATTGCTCAGGTCATTTAGGCCTGTCCAAGCGCAATCACAAGTATACCGCAGTAACCCGGTAATGATTCACTGCTGTCTTGATTTTGCACGTTTGTCTTCGTTCCAACCAGCCCGAAACACGGTATGTAGCGATCGGTGAACTTGCGCTGTGGAGTGCCGTAGTTGAATTCAACTCAACGTTCCGCGCCCATCCAGCGTCTTCACGCTGGACGAGACTGGTAAGTACACCTGTACTCAGATGCAAGCATATGGCCATCACTCCGGTCGTTCATACCCATGTGGCCGGGTGAGGGACATTTTGAGAGAGGCCAACATCTACTATTGGACAGTTGGCAATATAGCGCGTTCTAATCTCACCCGAAGGCGTGACTCTTGGTCCCCGAGTAACAGAGTAAAAAGGGACAAGACCTCTGGCACTAACTGTAGAGCCAGAGTAACCATTATCAACCTCTGATATCTCTGGCGCTGGTGTGATCTCAACCTCACACTAAAAGGCTTAGTCTCAACTCTACGGTATGAACAGTTTTCCTTCATGGCCGCGAAATCTGACACATTCGAGCCATCGTTTATTATAGACTCTGTTTTTGATCATCAGTGTCCCTGGAGCATCTCATTCTTAAAGGTGACGTCTCCAAGTCAGACGGGCTTTGCCGACCTCTCAGTAGCATAATTTCTTTGAGTACGCTCTGGTGGCTGGTCCAGGTGCTTCGCGTGCCTGATCAACGGTGGCGCTGCTGCACTTTGTTAGCATGCGCCGGCGATGAAGGGGTGCGACAGCAAGGTGGTCAACTCACAACATGGTTGTCAAGGTGCTGCGTTGTGGTTGACCATAATTGGGCGTTTCAGATCCCAGGTTTGGGGGCCAAGAACAGTGAACACACCTAATTGGTAACGCTATCGCAACGTTTTGCGATACTCTGCTCCCCCGGCTGCCACTTCCTTTCCTTTATGTTCTTATCCTTGTGTTGTGGCACTACCAATTGTATACTGGTTAAGGGTTTGATATATGGTTGGCGGCATTCGGTTTCGGATTTACCTGTCACTGTGGCCTCCATAGACAAGCGACAGGACGCCTGCGCCTACAAATGGACTATGGGTGGCTTGCGCTGCACCACCCACAGTTCCATCCACACACCCCATATCCAGTGTAAACCCAAAGGAATAAGACCGGGAGGCATGTGGATGAGAGCCAACTTTCATCAACGGAGCCGGTCCACACCCCTTCAACAAGCAGAACAAAAGCATTCCGGCCTAATCGGGAAATCATGCACACCAAACACACACCTGGCGGTGGTTGGACCGTAGTCCGCTCCACACTGAATGCATGGAACCACTCTTCGAGCGTAGCGCGACCACAAAAACCGTGCACCCCGTGCCCTCCAGCAACGACCAACTGTCTACTGGAGCCAGTATGGACGAGGTGGTGAATAATAGATAGGTAAGCACCTTGTCAACATGCACATTAAGCGCAGCGACACCTGGGATGTCAAATAACAGGCAATCATTGGAAATGCCGATATCAAATAAAAGATATCGAATAAAGTAAACGTATATGACGACATAAATACTCGCTAAATGAGCATTTAGAGTAAGTTGGTTATAAGCGAATCCGCGATTAGTACAAAATGTCTGGAAGTTATTTAAAAATTACTGCGCGATAAAGCTACACAAAGTTACCAAAATTAGCATGAGCGACGTGTGCAAGTTAGGAGAAGATTATCAAGAATGCAGAACAAACCAAATAAAGGGGAATAAATTTTATCCACATTAAAAGTCCTAATATAAGTGTAAGTCAGCTTAGCCCAACTGCAGTTAAGATGCATCATGAATGCAACATCAACCTCATCATGGGGCACAGCTGTGTCCATAATGGCCAATTTAACGGTATGCGCGAAGCAATAACCTGCAATCGGTGCGCCAAGACAGGAGTTTAACGTGGTGCAACGGTTTACGCACCCCTTCAGCTCACTGAGCTGTTGGGTACAATTTCCTGGTGTCTTGAGAGCAACTCCTATCTAATTAGTCTGTAGTTGGATGAGATTCAAACGCAGTCTCCCCGTCCTCCAAAGTCGGGTTAAAACAGAGTCTGGCACCTATTTCTGTTACAGTAAATCAATGGCATCGTTTCGTAGCCTTACGATGAGACTTAGGCTAGGGACTTTGGTTGACGGCCGTAATTGTCTTCAGGCTCTCTGGCAGTATCCCAGCGCATACATAACCATGAATTCTTCACTAGACGAAAACCACACCCTGAACTGGCCGTAGTGCAGTTTCAGTGGGTTATTCGACTACTGCATAGGATGATGTAGATACGCAGAGAGAGGCAACTGTTCATGTTCCCTTTTTACTTCTTTTTAAACCACCCTGTAGCATTTCTTCAATAGTCCTGGTGCAAGTGGCGGTATCTACAATGCCGCTGGAGTTTTGCCATCTGAAACCACATCCCCACGGTGCAAATTGGGCTGTTATCGGCAACAACTGCCCGTCAGAATACGCTTCGCAGTTTTTGTGGCGACGCTCGGCGTTTGTACCCGAAGGTAGTTTCTCCAGCAGAAGGCGATGCACGCACACACCGGGTGCTGCGATGTGTGCTGTGTGTCCAAAAACAAACATCATGAATTTCAAGCAGTTATCGATGCCCAGCTTGCATTTTTGTTATCGGCCGCACGCATCTCCAGGCGCTGATGAAGAAATAACATACCAAACTCGAGTATGGAGAAGTTTATAACTTTAAGACTGTACTGTTTCTATGGATTTGATCTTCTTAAAGTATATTTTGTAAGAAGCCTGATGATGAAGAAATCGAAAACAATTGTTTGCTTTACGCGTTACGCATACTTTCTTCTCTTTGTTGATCGCCTGGATTCCCAGCAACAGTCCCTTGCGCGCGGCACCTTCGACAAAGTCGACCAGACCAGCACCTGAAATAGCTTCAGAAGTTGTTTATTTGTTATCACGAGAAGCGAAGAAGCAAAGGGTCCATTTACACTAACAGCAATGGCCATCAAAATAAGAGCGCAGTAATTAGCATCTTCTGTTACAAACGGATAGCTCAATGATAAATCCGGTTTCACTGCTTCGCATATCACTTCTACATTGATTGCGTTTGTATTGTAGCTCGTATTCCAGATGAGTTCGTGCCACAACGTTTGGCTTCTGATGGTTGTAATGCTTCATTTGCTTCGAATGTCGTACGATCACTTTAGTGGTAGTACCAGCAATGAGCTTAATAACGCTACACTGAGTGCCCTTACAAAGGCATGCAATATAGAGTTCTAAATAATCTACATAAATCTCCCTTGACAATCAGCTACAAATAAAGTGAAACAGTAAGAGAATGGACAGAAGTAAACCCAATGCATGGTCTAAGTTCACCAGGTAGACATATTACGAACATCGTGTAGTCACTAGCAACCGACTACCGCAGGTAGACGACTACACTGCAGTTACCACCGTTCCGCCTTATCTACAGCACGCACTCCGAGTTACTTCTACAATAGGCGACGGATGCATGTGTATTTCTAATGAATGAAGCTCCATTGTGTCCACAAAAGTATTTCGATGGTCAATTTTTGAACAGTTAATCCGTGAACATATGTCAGGGATGATGCACCTCCCTCCCCCCACAGTTGGCAGTAAGAATATACCGCTGAGGCAAACATACAAGCGTCAATTCGCTCACAAAGTCTGTGCGACATTTTAGGGATACATCCCAACAATTCAAAATATTTCATTGACTTCCCATCCTGTTATAGTTACACGTCTGCAATAGAGGTGATATTGCTCTAGTACCAAAGGAGTGAAAATGGTATTTATGTATATCGATCTAGGTCAGAAATGTAAGTTCTCTTTGCATTCATAAACACAAATCTACAGTAAAGTGGTACAGTAGGATGGATTCCACGGAAGTTACTGTTTTCAGAATTATTCTGTTCTGCTGTTTAGCAGCGTGCTGGGTCGCGAATGATTCAGTGGACAAAACCTTCTTCATCGTCACTGAAACAAAAATGACAAGTTTTGAGTAGGAACAGCGGAAACATACAGACAAAATGTCACAGTTGTAGTAGCTTGTTGACGAACCGATAAATACAAGTAAGTTCGTTAGCTCTGATTTAGAATGTCTACTCCAGGAATTATTTTCCAACCAAAAACATAAAAGGTAGAAAATAAAAGTGTATAGCCATTGCACAGATAGGTTGCTGAGTAGAAGGGAATGATTAAACACAAAATCCATTAGCTTTGCGACTATCATGTCGCAAAGATTCGCCAACTACTGACCTGAGCGATCCCTTGCGCCCAATCCAGAAGGATGGTATTTAACAATGCAAATGTGCTTTTCGGATAATCCACCTAACTAAAGTATAGCCTCCGTAAGCTGACCACTCAAGGGATTGGATCAAAGTGATCAACATAGAGAGGTTCTACGCCAAAACTTAGCGTAACCTACTTTCCCGTTGTGAGCGGTATAGTATGAATTTATTTTCACCTAAACCCGTTTCGAGCACATTAGACGAAGTCTCACGTAACGGCAAATGCAGTTCAACCATGCAGTGGTATAATAAATCAAAACGCTGTGTGCATTTGCAAGGCAAATTATCTTTTTGATGAAGAAGTCAATCAATCTTTCCCTCTTATCACGAAGGTAACTGAAAAAGCGCTCTCAGCAAAAGCCACACTATTCAGCATGCTTTGACATTTTCCCACAGCAAATGATTTCAGTCACATTAAAAGATGTCAGACATCATCTTCGTTTGGATTTTCTGTGTTTTCCATATCATCGTCACTCAGTCCTTCTTCATCATCAGCAACATCAGGTGTTCGTCCATTGTTTCCGGATGGGAGTACCGCAGTCAGTATCACTTGGAAAAGAACATCTGGGTCTGGTTCAGTGCAAGTCACCATCCATTTCAACTAACTCTTGAAAACATATTCCGTCTAATTCTGCCAATGAAGATGGAACCCCTACTAAGGCGATAGCATCCCGCTCGCTTTTCAGATACCTCACCAACCGGTATAGGTGCTGTGTTAGAGCAAGATGGGCACCCTGTTCTGTGTATCTCTCGTCGACTCAGCAATGCTGAAAAGGGGTATGCTCAGACCCATCGATAAGCTTTGGCTGTATACTGGGCAGTCACTAGACTTCACAAATATTTGTTTGGTCGCGAATTTATGATTGTGACAGATCAGGAAGTGCTAAAGTTCATTTACAACCCTGCCAGTTCTTTAGCTATGGTTCAAAGGTGGAGTGTTGCTCTTAACGCGTACAACTATGTGGTTGAGCACAGAAGTGCAAAGTCCATTCCTCACGTCGACTACTTATCACGAACTGCAACGGTATTCGAAGTCGATTCTGAGTTGTTTACTCATTCAGTCGCTTCCAATCTCTAGTTCAGCACTTAGCAAGGAGACTAGAAAGTATTACAGGTCACTGATTGCTGTTGTCAAAGGAGAATGGATTATTTATCACGATTCCCGCAATTTTGTGTGCGTGGTGATGAGTTATGTGTCATATCTGGTGGATTACTGTGTGTGAATGACCGTGTCGTTATTTCGCAGACTTTGAGATAAGCTGTTCTGATGGATTTAGATCCTGGTCATCTTGGTGTTGAAAAGATAGAGTCCTTAGCTCGATGCCTGTGCTGGTGGTCGGAATCAAATGCAGCTATTCGATGAACTGCTTCTGATTGCCCGAACTGTAAGCACAAGATTCTACAGCAGCCTTCCAAGTGGACACCATAGCCGATGACACGCGTACCCTGGCAAAGGATACATATGGATTAATGTGGACCAGTTCTGCAGAAGTACTATACACTTGTGGTGGTGGATTCGTATTCAAAGTGACCGGAGGTATTCCTGATTGACAAACTAAATGCTTGCTTTACTGTCTGTGCTTTGATAAAATGGTTTAGTAGAGAAGGAGCCCCATTAGCTGTTGTAAATGACAATGCCTGGCACTTTTCCGATTCAGTTGTCATCAATTGACTGCAGTGTCTTGGGGGTCGTCATCTTTTTACTGCTCCACGACATCCACGCTCTAATGGCTCGGCCGAAAACTTCGTTGTAACTTTAAAACGTTCTGTTACCTCCTGTGCTCCTACTTCTTTAGATGAACTTGATCGCTGTGTTGATAACTTCCTTCTCCAATATCGTAACTGTGTGCATTCCATCATTGGAGATACACCCGCTAAATTATGTAAATCCGCCGGGCCGTAGCTTGGAGGTAACAAGCTTGTCACGTACTCTTGCGGCGCGCGTTCGAGCCTGCTTAGGGGCAAGATGACCTTCGCACTATCCTTAGCCCATGTGCGACCATTGGTGATTGTGCGGCAACGAAGCGTCGGTACTACCTAACGGGGTACTGCTGATGTCTTCTTACCTCGAGAGGTTGAGCAAATGCGGCTTTTCCGGAACACTTCTGTATTATTTCTGGTTGTACTTGAACCAAGCGAAACTTATCCAATGCACAGCATCCAATGAATTAAATGAAGCAATAAATGAAGTTCTTTCTGTATGAGAAACACTAGTATGCAGTTTTGCCATAGCCCATTGCATGAGCTTGGCTCGGTAGTGTAGGTTGAATATTTTGTTGAGCCCTTGGTCTAGAGGTTGAATTTGTGAGGTCATGTTTGGAGGCAGAGACTTAAGTGTAATATTTGTGAAATTTTCTACATGGGTGTGGCTAGGATAGTTTCCACTATTAGGATAATGAGGCGTTTCTTCTTCATGATTTCTTTGCCGATACTTCTGATCCACACCGCAAATATGGTAGTAGTCATCCACGCAGATCGGTTTACTCTCCAGGTAACTGGAAGGTTTCCAGGATTTAGGTTTTTGAACGCACGTGGTCAAGCTGATGTACTAATGACTAAGGGCTTAAGCTTCTCATTGCTTGATCTAGCGCACAACAGGACTGTGAAACGTTATTTTGAATGTTTTCCACTGTTACATTTGTCCCCCTTTCTAACAAGGCTTCTCTTAGGCATCGTTCTGAAGAAGAGACCGCACTAATCAGTGTTACAAATGGCGGTATTGTTGAAGCCCTTGTAGAAAAATTTCTCTATTAAGTCTTGAACAAACTCTTCAGGCACTTCATTGGATTCACCACACAAAAATCTTTGGGAAATTTCATGTCAGAGTTTAAATTTCTCTAGCCAACCATTGGATGCCTGGAAATCTGCTACCCCAAATTCTTGTGAGAACCTTTTAGCAATTTCCTGAACCATCAGTCCAAAAACTGGAGCGTTAGCTGCCTTCAGTTTCTTGAATCAGCGCAGCGTAGCCTCATCGACTTCATCGTGTAAAATTTTCGGCCTCTTCCGCTGTAGATCTCTTTCATTATCGTAGCTCTTCAAGTATTCGTGTCTTTGGATGTTGCTAACTGTTGTCTTGCTAACACCGAAACGCTCTACTGCCTTTCTTTGGCTACTGCTTTTCAGAAAATGTGGCAGACTAATCTTTTCCTTCAAAGTAAACTCTCTGAGGTCCTTTTTTGGGCCATAATGTTGTAATACTCGTAATGACCGATCCTAAAATGTTCAAAGCACAGAGCGGATCTGAAGTCTACGGTTCTATGTACGTACCACTAAATACATTTATTAACTAGCTTCAGTTGGTTTCACCCACATGCCGGCACCAAATAGAGCCGGATAAGCGCTCGACAATTAATGTGGGCGTAAACATCAATCTCGCCAAAATCCGAGGTGCTAATGTACTGGTGCTTAGACCTGGTGGCTACTCGAGGGTTTTACAGTCATTCAAACTCTTGATTGTGGCCTGTGCGATGAGTGGGCACGTGTTCTCAGGGTAGACGAAGGTTTGTCAGGTGGGGGAGGTTGAACACAAATCGTCCTAGGGCATTCCGTGGGCGCGGATCTGTGGGGACCAGCATTGATATGGGTAACACGCGCGCGCGTAAACGGTGCCGGTCGGGACAAACACGCACATACTGTAGCGTCCCAAAAGATAACTATTATCTTTTGCGTACAATTTCGCTGATGACCAATTGTACGCAATTCGTTCTTTGAATTGGAATTGGATGTTATAAATGCATTGGAGCAATAGCTGCTTTAAGTGGACAGTCGTTATTTCAATCTCGTGCTGTTCAATGTAAGTACAAAGAAAGTTGACTGTTTCTAAAGTGAGACATTCGTAAACAGAGATAAGACGTCCAGAGAAAA